GTGGTGGCTTTCTTTTTTTTTTTTTTTTCCCGTTTTCTTTATCTTTTTTATCTTTTTTCTTTCATGTATTTATTTTTACATTTTTCCACAAGTTGGTGACTTTCTGATTCTACCTACATTTCTTACTGTGATTCTTCTACAAGTAGAACTTTTCCTCCTTATCTATTTTCTCATCTTAAAACTTAATCTGCATATAAAAAGCAAGATAAAAGCTTGATTCATTTCCTTTCCCACCTTTCACAATGAGGTATTCCCTGACAACTTCCAAAGATAATTCATGAGGTCTTTCAGTATCACTCTTTTAGATCTGATTTTGCTTTATTGAATAGTATCCCACACCCAATATTTACAGATGCAATCAAACAGAATTATAAGACTACCACATGGAACATTTTAGAAGATTACTCTATAACAGTCTTAATGGGAATCATCAATTTGTGTGTGTTAATACAATAATTAATCGATACTTCTCAGTATCACTTTTTTTTTTAAGGTTTTCACCATAGGGCGCATTCACTTGTAGCAAAGAGAGACAATCCCTTTCCTCCACTCTCCTCCTGGGATTTTGGGCAATCACATGCTCTCAGTATGATTTTTATTTAACTTTATTTCTTATTTTAATTTGACCAGAGAGGGAGACAGAGAGAGAAAGAGATGGAAAGTGAGAAAGCAAGCCATCAGGTCCGGGACTCGAACTGCAGTTGGCCATGTGGGAGTTCAGCGCCCTTAACCACCACACCATCTGCCGGCCTCTACTCCCAGTGTGATTTTTCAAGATGCCAGGTACAGGGCCAAATGGTGGTCAACCGTGTGGGAGGCCAGTGCTGTAGCCACCAGGCCACCTGCTGTCCCACTTCTCTGTATCACTTCTAAAGTTTATTTATCTCTCTCGTGAGAGACAAGAGAGACACACAGAGAGGATAGAGACGTAGCTTCCTGATAAGCTCTTTTTTTTTCTTTACAGAGAGGTTTTGCTATAGGGCGCGTGTGCTCACCAGAGAGACAGACAGAAAGAGAGAAATCACCCTCCCGGGGGGTGGCCACACCACATTCCCTTCTCCAGTCTCCTCTTGGGATCTTGGGCACACATGCAGTTGGACCTGGTGTGAGTTTTAAGCTGCCGGGCCAGGACTCAAACTGTGGTAGACGAAGTGGGAGTCCAGCGACATCTCCATTACGCCATCTGCTGGTTTCCCTCCCCATAGGCTCTTTATTTTTATTTTATTTTATTTTATTTTATTTTTTTTTATTTATTTTTATTTTATTTAGGTTATATCTTGTCTCCTGATTTAACCCTAGCATTAGTCTGAGAA